TGAAGGGAGGTTGAATGTATGAGCAGGGAAGTGGCTGCAGAGATGCATGATTGTGTGCACGTGGGGGCTGGAGGTGGAGAAAGTGTCTTTTAAGATGAAAACTGAACATTGCCCAGGTTCAGGGCGAGGCAGAGGGATAGACGGAAGGACAGATGGAAGATAAAAAGGAAGGGACTAAATCAGGAAAAGAGAGAGAGAAAAAGAGGACAATAGAGGACTAAAGAGATGAGGACAAAAACGGAGCAAAGAGCAAGAGTCCAGAGCAAGGGAATGAAAGAATGTATGTGGAGACAAGACAGAAAAAAAGGAAAAGATGTGGATGGGCATAGAAAAAAGGAATCATAAAGCACCACAGCACCTTCTACATCTTCCCTCATAAGACTCTTCATATTTTATTGTGGTATAATTTTCTGGAAGGCATGTTTCATAGGGGCTGGTTTCAGGGATGTCGCATAGAGTGTCTTACCACTTAATTCCCTGTGTCTGGCACATAGAAATTAAATGGATGAGTCAATGAATGAATGAATGTTGGAAAAAGAGGACAGAGGACAGGCAGACAGGGATGGAGGGAAGAGTGATACACGGTAAGAGAGTAATGAAACAGATAAGATTGTCACTCTTGGAAGCCCTGGCTTTGAGCACATCGGACTGGGGTGGACATTGACTTGCAAATATGCTCGGTGTAGCGTCACCAAAAGGATGCCTATGTACCTGGACAATCATTGTCATTCCTTGATAGAATACCCAGACCAGCCACCACTCGCTCACCCAACCCCGGGGCTCAGCCACCTCGGGCCTTAAAGTGGCAGGAGTTCTGTAACCGGACAATCAATGGGCCCATGCTGCCTGTCACTACTTGAGCCAATTAAGCAGAGTCAGGGTGGACTTCTGTATGAGCGTTTATTCGTTTATTCATTATTGCCGGCAGCATGGGAGAGCAGGAGGTCATCCACAACAATCTACGCTGCACCCCACCATAAGCCAGCTGCTTAAATTGATTAGAAGAACAAATATTACATGAGGAAATAGCCAAAGGGTATGCCAAATGGGCAGTTAACAGGTAAGCAGGCTGGAGATTTGCAAAGGCCTGCAGGCATGCAAAAGGACTGGGGATCTTCAAAGGGCTTAATAATATGCAAGAGTGGGGGATCTTCAAAGAGCTGGTGATTCTGGTTTCTACCAGAAAGTTGTTAATCTTTCCATGATAATAAGCAGCTCCAAATGCGGGGGATGGGCTGCATTTGCAGGTGAGCTCTGAGGTCCAGAGTGCGGCTACCAGCCAGGTTAGAATGTGCCTTCTTTAATCAGAACAAACCAATCACGGTTAACAGAGCATGGTTAATATTTCTTACAATTCTAGCTGGTTCCCCAACATTCTACTTCTGCCCATATCAATTCTGCCTGCAGCTGGAACACATTATACCTCCACAAGTCATCTGGAGCCACCGGTGTGCTTCCCTTTCCTTCTGCAATGACCAGTTCCTCCTTTTGTTATTATTTCAGATGCTCCTCACATTTTATCCACTTTAAGATGATGCGGTGTCAGGCACTCCCTACCAGCTGACATGAATTTCACAATGTCTTCTGGACCCTGTTTCCAGATCACAAAGGCTCTTTCCTGAAGGGCTTCCTGAAAAGAAGTCTGTTCAGTTATGCAGCATCCTGGTTGCTCTTTGCCTCCAGGAAGACCGGAGGATATCATAACTCAATAAGGATGTTTAAACACGGATGTAAACATCATACAAAAGCAAATACATGATGATATTGATATCTCTATTGCGGAGGGTTTGATGACTTAGAAGGAATTTTTTGGAAAACTCCCCAGGGCATCTTAAATGCTTCTGCAGAATGGTGACATTGGGTGTGGCCCCTTTGGATCCTAGAAAGTTTCTGTATAAACTGAGAATGGTCTAGTGGCACTGTATTCATCCTGTGGACTCTGCACTTGTCCTCAAACTGACTCTAGGGTGTCCCGGTCCAAACCATTTTCCAGTTGGCAGCAGTGAATAACAGAGGAAAATCAGATGCCCTCTCCCCGCAAAGAGGAACACAGGGGAGTTTAAAGGAACAGAGAACTCAAGGCAACCCTGTGACCCCCACATGCTTAGTACAGAAAAGTTTGAATAAAAATACTATTCAATTTGGAATATTGTAAAATTTCTGCTCTCACTTTGATTGTCTACCTGAGCAAATATGCAAATATGCAGGGTATTCACATGAGTCTTCTTTGAAAGACACTCCATTTATATTTATTTGTTCTTTCTGAGTTTTCTTTGACACTTATGTATGTATGTATGTATGTATGTATGTATTTATTTTGCCTTAAGCACGTCTGTAATTGATTCTCTTTTTTCTTGGGCAGGGTTTTGCTACCTTTCAAACATGTCCTCCTCCCACTTGCGGACTTTCCTGTTTCCCTTTAAGGCAGCGATTCTCAACCTGTGAGTCGCGACACTTTGGGGGTCGAATGACCCTTTCACAGGGGTCGCCTAAAACCATCGGAAAACACATATAAATTACATATTGTTTTTGTGATTAATCACTATGCTTTAATTATATTCAATTTGTAACAATGAAATTGGGGGTCACCACATCATGAGGAACTGTATTAAAGGGTTGTGGCATTAGGAAGGTTGAGAACCACTGCTTTAAGAGGCTGTATATAAGCCGAAACTGGTTTGGCTCAGTGGATAGAGCGTCGGCTTGCGGACTGAAAGGTCCCAGGTTCGATTCCGGTCAAGGGCATGTACCTGGGTTGCGGGCACATCCCCAGTAGGAGATGTGCAGGAGGCAGCTGATCGATGTTCCTCTCTCATCAATGTTTCTAACTCTCTATCTCTCTCCCTTCCTCTCTGTAGAAAATCAATAAAATATATTTAAAAAAAAAAAAAAAAAGAGGCTGTATATGCAGCTGAAATCCAGCCCCTGTTCTGCTCACAAAGCCATGTGCTGTGCCTGGGGCTGCATCTGCCCAGAGGCAGTTTACACAGTGAGATGTGTCCTGGCCGAGCTGGTAATCCCTGAGCTGCAACTATCAAAAAAAATAAAAGGGGGGGTGGGGTGTGATTCTTTCAACTTGCAAAAAGATATACTACATGAGCTAGAGGTGATCCTGTCAGTCTGGTAGGAATGTAGTATAGATTTGAGGGAAGATTAGTGGGAGCTAAGAGGGTCCCCATGGTGGAGTATCTTGGTGACCACTTTGGGATTTGATGCTGAGGCATGTCACTGTCAGTGTTGGACTTGGGAACAATTAATGGGCTCTAGGTTTGGTTCGATCTCAGAAAGGAGAGAGTCAGACAGCTATGGTGATAGCTCTTTACCTTATTATGTAGACCTGGCTGCCCTCTAGCATTTCTTCTGTTGACCTCCCTGTCAGGTTTCCTCACTCATTACAGACTTTGCAATGGCTCCTGGTTCAGTCTTTGGCTCTGCCCCAAATCCTGCTATCACCCTGGGCCACTGCAATGTCCTGTGGATGACCCATTCAACAGCTCTGCCTTCCCATCTATGCAGTCCATTACCTCCATCCCACCTCATACTTCTAAGGTATATGTTGGACTTTGTCATCATCCAGAACTGCTCACCTGTGAAATGACAAATTCAAGCTGTCCTTTGCTGATCACAACTTCATGACTGCAGCATATCCCCTCAGTTGTTCTCTGTAACAGTACCCTTTCTCTGGCTTTTCTTTGCCATGATCCACAACTCTGTTGCACACTTGTTCTATTCCAATCTCCTACGAACCACCCAACATTGTGTGAAATCAATTGCCTGTCCGCTGTGCCTTCCCCCAAGTGCTGAGCACTGCTGGAAAAATTCCCATAACTAAGCCACTTCACACTCACGGCCCTGCCTCACCCAGCCCTCTACTAGGCCCTCAGTGCTCCGTTTCACGAATAAATTCTCACTCCCATTTCTTAGCATAACAATTTAAAAAGTTTTCCACTCTTCTCAATATCCTTCCTCACCTCTCCCCAACCCCCAAGTAGAGGAAACAGAAAAACCAGAGAAAAGAAAATAGCCACGCTTTATTGTGTGCCGGGCTCTGTCATAAGCACGTCACAGGTATTAAACCACATAGTTACCACCGCAATGCTCTGAGGTACTTGGTAAACCTATGGCACCAAGAAGAGAAAGCCCCTGGCCAAGGTCACACAGCTAGGAAGGAGTAGCCACTGATAGTGTAGTGCAGTGCTTCTCACATTTTATTGTATAAAAGAATTACTCATTGATTTTGTTAAAAGTGCTGATTCTGGCCCTAACCAGTTTGGCTCAGTGGATAGAGCGTCAGCCTGCGGACTGAAGGGTCCCAGGTTCTATTCCGGTCGAGGGCACGTACCTTGGAGCCTGCAGGTCCTCTCTGACCCGGGCCCTGGGTCAGAGGGCCCAGGTCAGCAGCCCTCTACTAGGCCCTCAGTGCTCTGAGGGCTCGTGCAGAAAGCAACAAATTGATGTGTTTCACATTGATATTTCTCTCTGTCTTTCCTTCTCTCTTCCACTCTTTCTAAAATCAATGGGAAAATGTCCTCAGATGAGGATTAAAAAAAAAAAGTGCTGATTCTGGCATCTTTCCCTACCCCTGTCTGACCCTGAGATTCTGATTTAGTTGATTTGGGGATAAGCCCGTAGATCTGCATTTAAAAATAATCCAACAGATGATTCTGATGTAAGTGGTTCTCAGGCCTTATTCTGAAAAAGGTTCGCTATGGTCAATATATTTCTCAGATGACAGTTCCTGGAGGAACTGTGAAGGCTTTGGACTCAGGATAGACAAGTTCTGATGGAGCTGAAAGGAGAGGTGTGTTCCAGTGCACGCCTCGCCAGGACAGGTTGGCACAGCTCTGACAAGTTCCTTGACATATCGCATCCTCTGAGACAAGAGCTGGTCAATTTCAGAATTTGGAGAGGAAGACATTGTAGTGAAATTTGAACACAAAGCAGTGCCCAGGTAGCTAAGGATTCGCTGAAATGTTTTCTCCCCTGCCCTTCATTTGCAGAAGAAAGTATGAAATTGGCTATGAAGCAACAAGAAAATGTGGATGACACACTGAAGAGGGTGAGAGATGAACAACCTGTTCAAAAGGCAGTGGAAGCCAAGGCAAGCGAGACAAAGAAACACAGACCCAGAGAGAAACTCTTCCCAAACTCACCGCTTTTCAAGCAGTGGGGTGAGGATCTCTCTGAGGCCCAGCAGAAAAGGGCCCAGGACCTCTTCCAGAAGTTTGGTTACAATGTTTACCTCAGTAACCTGCTGCCCCTGAACCGGTCCATCCCAGACACGCGGCATTCCAGGTAGGATGTACAAGGTTGGGCTTCCTAGGAACCTCACTTTAATTTGGGGGGGATGAACTTTGGGAGCAGTGAAAAGTCAAGGATGGAAAAGAGGATTGGAGGAGTGGAAAATTGGTGGGGAAGGGTTCAGGGCATAGAAAGTTCTAGCAGGCTGCCTGAGCAGACTTCTTGTTGTTTTTAATTTATTTTTTAATTAGTTTACATTAGATATTATTTTGTACTAGAGGCCCTGTGCATGAAATTCGTGCACAGGGGTGGGTCCCTCAGCCCAGCCTGCTCCTGCTCCAATTCGGGACCCCTCAGGGGATGTCCGACTGCCGGTTTAGGCCCAATCCCACAGGAATTGGGCCTAAACCGGCAGTCGGACATCCCTTTCACAATCTGGGACTGCTGGCTCCTAACCGCTCCCCTGCCTGCCTGCCTGATCACCCCTAACCCCCTAACCTCTCTGCCTGCTAGTCTGATGCCCCTAACTGCCCTCCCCTGCTGGCCCGATCGCCTTAAACCACTTCTGCCTTGGCCCCCACCACCGAGGCTTTGTCTGGAAGGACGTCCAGAAGATGTCCGGTCTAATTAGCATATTACCCTTTTATTACTATAGATTAGTTTTAGGTATACAATATAGTGATTAGACAATCATATACTGTATGAAGTTGTCCCCTAATTTTTCCAGTACCCACCTGGCACCATACATAGTTATTACAATGTTATTAGCTATTTCCCTTATGCTGTACTTTACATCCTCGTGACTATTTTGTAACTACCAATTTGTACTTAATCCTTTAACCTTTTTCTCCTAGCCTTGCAAACCCTCTTCCTTCTGGCAACCAGCATTCTATTTCCTGTATCTATAAGTTTATTACTGTTTTGCCTGTTTACTTATTTTGTTCTTTAGATTCCACATCTAAGTGAAATCATATGGGATTTGTCTTTCTCTGACTGACTTATTTCACTTACCATAATATTTTCTAGGTCCATCCATGCTGTCACAAATGGTAAGATTTAATTATTTGCTTATGGCCAAGTAACATCGATATATATATATATATATATGTATATATATATATGTATACACAGACACACACACACACACACACACACACACATATACTGGAAGGGGGGTGCATGAATTTTGTGAACAGGGGTGCCCATGATGGCCTGCACCGATGGATGCCGAAACGCTGGGCATCATGAGCAGAGGGGAACCAGGAGGTGGGCGGGAGGGAAGCTCCCAAACAGTCGTTTATTTGGGGCGGCCTTAGTGCGAGAAAGCACACGGGG